ACCAATTCCTTTATAGATTTAGGAGTGATTTACAATTTAAGAACAAGAGAATAAATTCCTAAACAACTAGACGAAAAGCTCCAAATGTTGCTGTTGTCCTTGGAATAATTCTGCCTTTGCTTTATGTAGCCTTTGCAAGAGTTCTTGAAAAGTTTTTATCAAGTTGCAAAAACTACACACAAATGTTTAGGAAAGTGCCTTTTATATGGGCAAGTCACTTTCCTAAACTTCTTTGCCATTGGCTGGAAAGGTCACACTTTTTTGACGCCATCGAGAAGTGTGCACCTACTTTCTGTACCGTCTCCAGCTGGCAGTCGACTGGCTCATCATCATGAGAGTCTGGTACCTCTACTAGGTCCCTGGGTTTGTTTCATCTGCAATACTTCAAACAAGACACCTGCAATACTCAAGTAGAAAACCTGGTACCTTTATGAGGTCCCTAAGTTTGTCAAATCATCAAAACTACAAATAACAAAACTCCTTAAGAGTAGGGAGAACATTGCTATTAGAGCTTAACAAGAAAGTCCAAGTACCTCTACTATAATCATCAACTATGGTAAGAAAGTATCTAAAACCATTATAAGTAGGTGGTTTGTACGGTCCCCAAGTATCAATGTGAATCAATTCAAAAGGCTTTGTAGAATGAATAACACTTATTGGAAAAGTGAGTCTAGTCTGCCTAGCTTTAGGACAAATATCACAAACATGTTCAGATTTAGAAAGGAAATTAATGAAACTGAATTTTCTCATTGTGGAATTGAAACTACATTAGCATTAGAAACAAACTGATACCTAATAGTAGAAGACTTCAACAGGTACAATCCCTCATTTACTTCACCAAAAGCTTTAATGCTCCTCCTTAAAAGAACCTGTTACACGCAACCACTAAGAGTAAGTAACACATTATATTTAATTTTACTTGACAACCTGTGCACAGATATCAGATTATGCTTGAAGGTAGGGACATATAGGACATTTTTCAGAGTCAAATTTGGAAGAATAGAGACACTTCCTTTATGAGTCACAGTGATCCTGAAAGAATTAGGCAAAGTGAGAGCTAAAGACACAGGAAGGGGAGTGAGCAACAGAAAAGAATTGGAGTCAAAACAGATATGTTTAGAAGCACCGGAATTAATAATCCCTGTACAGGAATTAATAACTGATAAACATGAGCTTGAGTTCCTCAATGGTACCAGCAATGGCATTTCCACTAAAACCAGTCGTTGGTGCTGTCCTATGTTTCTTCAGGAAATCTTTTGTAACCTGTTGCACCAGATTTGTGTATTGTTCTTTGCTCATGTACTGGCTGTAATTGTTGTAGGTTGTATCCTCTTGTGTGTTTTGATAAGCTTTAGATTTTTCTTCTGTTGCAACTGTATTTGCCTTCACTGTTCCTTGATTTTCCCTTGTCTTAGTGAACTCAAAATAATTGAGGTATCCAATAATCCTGTAGCAGTTATCATGTACATGTTTTGTTTTTCCACAGTAAGTATGTAACATTAGGATTGTACTTAAACTTCCTTGACCTGAATCTTTGGACTGGTTTTCCATTCCTTTGTTCCCCACTCTCATCATTTGGTTACCATTTCTGTGATTCCACTTGCCTTGTGTTGTTGCCATAAAAGCTGCTGAGTTGGTTAAGGGGTCTGCATTAACATAAAACTCTCGTTGGTTCATCTTGCAACAAAACATCAATGCTTGACAAAGGGCTCATCATCAGGATGTTCCCTCTTGCCTGAGCATAACAGAAACTGCATTAATTTCTGATGTTACAGTGATTTAACCAGATTTCCCTTACCCTCACATACACAGACATAAGAACAAGATATAATGACACTAAGGGAATCCAGTTCATTCCACAACCTCTTAAGTTTAGTAAAGTAATTTGCTATATCACTCATACCTTATGCTCCGTTGCATCTTCCGAATCTTCTTTCCAGGCTATCCCAGATCTCCTTGGCAGTCTTGGATTAGATTACACTGTCTCCAATTTCCCGGAAAGTGAATTCAACAACCATGATATCACCAATATCGTTGCAACAAATCCATTGGCCATACTATACAATATCAACACTGCCCTACTCCATCCTGGAAATCCCTTCCTATCAAAGGTAGAGCTGATGATATTTATTCCTGGCGAATCCAAAGAGCTGATGTCGATCGTGTTGGTCTTTGAAACACTGGATGTGTTCAGCACCTGAGTTACAACCTCTTCTTAATACATTTTGTATTACAGATCAAAATGTACGATGTAAATTTGTGCGAAATAGATTTGATTGAGCTACTGCTCTGATACAATGAAAGAATGAAAAGAAAACATTTGCGAATTTTCTAATAATTTCATTCTTCTCCAAGCCTGCATATATACAAGTTTTACACAGAATAAAACTAATAAAAAAAGAAACTCAATATCCACATGTCCTTTCTTTATTTGCCTACTCTATAACTAATCTAACAAACTTATATTCTTCAGTGTGCTAATTACGTGAGCAAAGTATTCTAGAGTCCAGATTGCTCTGCCTCTTGTTTCTCTTTGACTTTCTTCTTTACAGCTCTTCTTTCCGATTTCTTCTTCTGCTTATTGCAGTATGGAATCGATGCCATGGAGGTGAATGATTTTACGCCAATAATAAATTGGAGGTCCTAATCGGGCTTCTTTTGTTTCTGATTGAAAAACCTAAATATTTCCCAAAGTCTTTATCGGATGTATACTTTGGTGATTTTTGGTTTCCTATAATGCATTTAAACATATTTCTTTTTCTAGAGAAAGTATTTCCCAAGATATTTTTGTTCCATTCAAAAAAAAATTGTACTGTGAATGTTAGATGTCCCAGAGAATATTATTATTTTCCTTCCAAGCTTTTGAAATGATATGGGTTATTTGCGGATGGTACGTCCACATGGTTTCAAATTTAAAGATTTTAGATCGGTTGAGGGTTGACTTTTGTACTAAGGGGGTGGGATAGGTCGAATCACGGGTATCCCCCTCTCCACATTGAAGGTTTCCCATTCGACAAAGTTAGATTCGTCACAACTATGTAACTCCTATTTAAAAGTTACAAAAAAAATCTTACATCAAATTATGATTTGGGATAGATCGTTGGGACAATTAAAGATGTATTTTTGAAGCATTTATCTTGAATATCATGACCCTGAAGTCCTCTTAAACTTCCATCATATATGTCCTCTTCTTCCTTAGTAGAACTACGACAACTTTTATTTCTTCTAGATTTATATTTTTTTTCTTAGATTGGAAATACCCGGGTGGAGGGGATAGTCGTATTCGAGTCATTACCTAGGAGGTTCACACTATGTTATTAGGTAATGTTGGTCTGATCCTTATTTTGATAGATTGCATGTTCACTTGGTATGGGTGTAGGGTGCAGTATCGCCTCTTGAACTTATTGTTGGAAAGAAAGGGTGGGAAAAGCAATGAGTATGGTGTTGAGTGCGATGTGGAAATGGAGTTGCATAGAACGGGTTGTCCCTTGAGTTTACATGATGACGGGAAAGAGAGTGGCTGCTTTGGGTGTTAAATTTTTAAGGCTTGGGCTCCACTTTTCAACTCAATGCATATTACTTATAATGCATGAGTTCTACTCTCAATACTGCTCATAACATTGAATACATGCTTTGTTAACCTTTGTTTACTTTAGGGAATATGACTCCAAGTGTTAATTCATATCACAATTTAATCATGGTCAATAACAGTGATATATGAAGATTGAGTGAATAAAGCAAATTAAGTTTTATCAAAAACTAAATTAAAATGGGTAAATTGTTAGAGTTTTGCTCCTATTTTTCTTACCATATTCGAATTTTACTTTTCCCTCAAAGGAAAGTCAAAGCATTATCATAATTGTTTTTCTAATTTTTTTTTAAAAATATAGTTCTCTTCCATATTTGGTTATACTTTCTTTAGAGTAAAAATTTCGAACTCTATAAATTGAATTCTCGATCATAAGGAAAAAAATACAATAGATCCACAATTAAAAGAGTTTGTTTATGAAGAAGATTTCTCTATACAATTTTTATATCTTTTTAAGTATGTAGGCTAATTGAACAAACCATATAATAATATTATATTTCTTTTAATATAATTTTATGAAGCGTCTAATTTTTTGCTGAGATGAGTCTCAAAGGGTTTTGAGAGTGAGTCAAACCATTGAGTTAATTTCTAATTGAAATAATATGGAATTAAAGTTGACGACGGTTAACATGAATCAAAACGTCAAAATGATCAAACTATATTTTTCCTATTCTTGTGCAACTGTATTTGGTCATCGCAACAACCAATATTTTCAGCAGAAATTCAAAATATAAAAAGTAAAGACATGAAAAAGTCAGAGAAAGAGAAAGTTGAATATCTACTAATTACTATATACACATAAAAACATATATATTTTTCACCATGCATAATTAAATATTCTAAGTTATTTTTGCTGAAAAAAAATCGGATAAATCCCTTAACCCTACCTAGCTCCAATCATGATTGCATCACTAAGAGTTACTCTCTCTCTCTCTCTCTCTCTCTCTCTTAGAAATTAAAATCCCAAAATTCTTCGTTCTTTTTCTCTATTATTAATTCAGCAAATTTGGCATCAACTTGAATTGAGTATTGTTACTCTTTGAAACTTGTCTGTATAATCACATGAAAACTTCTTCTCACTAATTTCTTTTTTACTTTTTTGCCTTGACTCATTTAAAAAAGATAACGTTTGACGAAAAAGTGACACTACTTTGTATTTTGGCATTTTGGTTTCTTTTTCTTTAGAATCATAACCGTCAACAGAGGACAAGTAGTGTGAATCAATCGTAAGGATTGTGATGGTATGAGAATCTCTACACAACGGGTCCCCTAAGAAGCTCTTTTCTTCTTATATGAATTTTACGTGGAATGATCTCACATTAATCAAGATCTCCATACCAACATCAAATGCTTGATAGGAAATAAAATAAAAAAATGGTTGAAATAAAAGTTTACTTGTAGGGATAATTCATTTATCAATGGCCCAAAGTCGTGTTCGTGTTGTTAAATTTAAATGATAGGTCCAATATGCTACTTGTCTACTTCGTTGTTAATTAAACAATTAGTTCATGTTCTAAATATTTAGGGATGTTTTTTTAAACGCCTAATAATAAACATTTTATTACTAAGATCACTTACAAAAGAGAGGGGGGCATATTGCCTAAACCTCATCCCAAATAACACCAAAAAGGGGAAGTTTACTCAATGAAAGTAACGACTCTCATATGAGAGTTTCCTGAAGGGAAGCCATTTTCTATCAATAAAATAGAATAAGCATTCCCTTACTATCATTCAAGGTGGTTCGTAGTGCCATCCCAAGTGTTTTATTTTTTAAACCTAAATGAAGCAAGATTGAGTGTGTCCATTCTCATTGGTCTTACATTTGAGTCATGCATGTCTTCTTCCTTTGAGAATATATAATCCATGTCCCTTGTAGTGGCATGTCTTGCAAGAGCGTCAACTACACAATTTGCCTCCCTGAAGCAATGGATGATCTCACAATTCATATTTTGTATCTTCTTTTGGATTTTTCTCACTTTTTTCCTTAGAGTCCAAGGCATTGGAGTCAATCCCTTGACCATATTCACTGCTATTTGACTATCCATCTCCAAAATTATGCAAGAATTTGAGTTGTCCTAGCACCATTCAGTTCCACGTAAAGCTGCCTGCAATTCGTAAGAGTTGTTAGTAGAAAATTGGGTATATTTAGCAAAATCCATAACCATGTTTCCATTTTTTCCCTAACGATTCCTTCTATTCCAGCCAATCCTTGTCCAGGTATGAGTCTACCATCTGAATTCAATTTCCATATGTTTCCTTGAGGTTTTGTCCAATTGAATGTGATGCTAGTGATTCTTGGTTTATAATTTTCAGCAATCAAGCATATAATGTTAAAGTTCATATACAGAGGCTAACACTATTCATCAATGGAGAACCATAACAGAGAAAAGAGAATGAAAGATATATTTCAAAAGCATCAAAAGTATGTTTACAGTGAGGTAGTGAAGATTATTTATACATTTCTAATCACGTATTCACTCATAATCGTCTAACAAGAAGTTTAACTAATTCACTATACAATTACTTAAATACCCCTAACAGTTTTACATTCAATTAATTCCATTAGATTAATTTCTCCTCCTCAAGCTGGTGGGTATAAAAACATTCAACACACCAAGCTTGCCTATCAAATATTCGTGTTGTTGTCTAGGAAGACCTTTAGTTAATATATCTTCCAGTTGATCCTTAGAATTCACATATTCTGTCTTTATTAACCCTTCTTGTATCTTTTGTCTGATAAAATGACAATCAATCTCTACAATGTTTTGTTCTCTCATGAAACAAACGATTGACTGCTATTTTCAACGCTACTTTGCTATCACTAAATATCAACACTGGTTCATTGACTTCATTTTCCAATTCCTTTAGCAATGTTGTGATCCATACCACTTCTGATATTGCATTGGCCATACTTCTATATTTAGCTTCTGCTGAACTCCTGGAAACCTTTTGCTTCTTTGATTTCCATGATATTAAAGAACTTCCATGCTTCACCAAAAAACCTGAAACTGACTTTCTAGTATTGGGGCATGATACCCAATCTGCATCACAGAACACACTCAATTTGTTTGCTCTTGTACTGCTTAATAATATAGCAAGACCTGGTTCTCTTTTCACATATTTCATCACTCTAATTACTGCTTCCCAATGGGATCTTTTTGGTTGCTGCAAGAACTGACTAAGAGTCTGAATAGAGAAGGCAATATTTGGCCTTGTTAATGTTAAGTATAACATTTTCCCTATAAAACTTTGACATTGTTCCTTATTGTCAAGAAATTCATCATCCGAGTTTCCTGTAGTTCATCCAACTCATGTATTGTCAACTTTATATTCATCTATAGTGGTGTCCAAGATGGTTTTGTATTTCCTAATCCCAATTGTGAAATAATATCCAATGCATACTTTCTTTGATTGATCAAAATACCATTTCCAGATGTGCTGAACTCCATACCAAGAAAATACATAAGATCACTAATATATTTAATCTTAAAAGCCTTGTGTAATGATTCTTTTGTATGTTCAATGAGTGCCAAGCCATTTCCTGTTATCAACATATCATCCACATAGACTAAAATCACCACAATGTGTGTTCCTTGCTTCTTGATGAATAGTGAATGATCCAACTTGCTTTGAATAAAACCTGCGTTTAACAGTTCTTCAGACAACTTTAAATCCCACTGTATAGTTGCTTGTTTAAGTCCATATAGGTATCTTACAAGTGTACATACCATCCCATTAGACTCCCCCCT